TATATATATATATATGTTTTTTTCTTTACCACGTGTGATCATTACTCGAGTTGATTCTTCACATCTTTCTCACATGGCGATGTCAATAACTATGTCATTCTTTTGACAGAATGTACTATGTCGAATAGTAATCCCATTTGCAAACAATCCACGATCATAGCATTAATCATTAATGTTTCCCTTCTAGGTAATAACATGAAGAAATGCCGTGCCAGGTACGGATTAGATCAACAAAGCCAATGGTGCAAACCTTGCAGGTATGTGTACCATGTGCAAAGCTTTTTTTCAATATATCTTGTGCTTTAGTGAGAAAACAATTGTTAGATCGCGCGTACGATTTTCGTAGTTCGTGTGTAAATATATACTAAATTTTACAGAAGTCAATAATTTGGCAATGTCATGTTTGTCGATTGTATTTAAAAAAAATTTTACCTTGTCTATCATTCAATCTAATATAGAGGATAGAGTACACGAAATACTTCCTTAATCTCGCAAAAGAAGATCTCGGCTTCTTCCGCGTAACGTCAATCCTCTGTTTCATTTAATATAACGAGTATATAATTTAACACTTTACGGTAATGACACTCGAGTAGCTTACTTAAAGTATACTTTGGCGCTTTAAAAGTAACTGGATGATTCGGAAACATCTGTAAACGTTATTTTTTATATGTACTAATAACCTTCTTCAAGATTGCTCGCGACGTATCAGTCACAATTTCTAGTATTCTCGATTTTCGCTATCTCGTATCGGTCTCGGACCCCGTTCCGTCATCCACATGTTATCCATATGGAATGACTTAAAGACATTACCAAATGGCATATCTCCGGAACGTACACAGAAAAGACTTCAAATTAACCATAATATATAGGCTCATATATAGGCAAAAAATTTATGTTGATACAAGTATTTTGTGTTGATATTACTTTGCATTCAATTCAAGATTTGCTTAGTAAAAAAATCTTGCATCAATGCAAACTCAATCAAATCAAGACTAAAATTTTTGAAACAAGATTACAATATTTTTGCTTATACATGAGCATATCATGGTTGATTTAAGAATGATCTCTTTTTTCTGTGTGTATATACTGAAAATAAATGATATTATATTAACAGTATTAATATTTCATTGAAAATTTTGTTAATTCAATAATATTATTAATGAAATAAATATATCATGCTCTTGCATTGATCAAATTTTATTTGTTTCATTAATATTATTATGAATTATTAACAAAATTATTTTCGGTCAAAAAAATTCTGTTGATATAACATCATTTTTTTCAGTGTACAAATATCAGTGCTATGCGATAATGCGCGAAGCGTCATGCGCAGGGTCGTCTCGTGTCAAGAATAATTCATGTTTGCAATGATGGTACTCCCTTCTTATCGAATCTACAAATATAGCATAGAACGAACGAGGAAAGAAATAGAGAAAAAAAGCACAGCGTGAAGCTGCGCGCTACCATCAGAAAATGTGTCTTCCAAAGAGAAAAAAAAAGAACAAAAAGAGAAAGGGATGTGAATGACCAATCTCCTTCCTAGTTACGAGTGGGCGCACGACGCCGCCTAACGATGCTCAAACGTGTCCAACTGTATTTGGCTTGTAAATATCGGTTTCTAGAAGCACACTTTCGTAGTTTGTCGCGGTATCACGAACCACCCGTTTTTTAACGTCGATTATACACTGCTTCGTTATCACAGCGTAGCCCAAATGCCCCAACTCCTGGCTGGGTTTGTGAATTTCATGGACCTCATTAAAGGGGCGAGGACGAATCCCATCGAACGGTTCTTTTTCTTTCCTTCCGTTTATTACGCGATGAGAGAAGGTGACAGTCTCGAGAGCAATCACCAGATTAAGCGCCATTTGAAGAACGTAGTTTACCAACGAATTGTGCCAACCTGGCAAACTTTCATCATCGCGTGCATGGGAATGAATTAGAAGCGTATAAAATTCGTGTCGTAAAACGTGTTAAATTCGTGTCGTAAAACGTAAAATTTCATCCTGTGCGATTGCATTTGGTTTGTGTTCATGCTGCCAAAATCAAGATTTATTTTGTCAGATACCGGGAGCACATAGTTTGTTGCACTTGGACTTGGCCGATTGCACTCTGCATTGAATGCACGTAACTTACATACCGCCTGTATAAACGTTATTGTGCTTTCGATTAGTAATTATCACGAATATTTAAGAAATCGTATTAGAAGATTGTAAATATAACGACAATAAAAACATAAATTGTAACGCAACCACGAATATTCATAGCGCTATTAAGTGCGCTAAGATCAATTCTAATAAACCATCGTGTCAGCGCGGATACTTGGGAGACATATTTTCTGATCGATACAACAATCGCTATATCTTCCACTGTCTTTCTTCGTTCCAGTTAAAATCCAAATTTATTCCAACGGGGCCGGCAATGCTGTAATCACGATACCTATGTAATGCATAAATTATCATATCATTCGACTATCTTTTGTTGCCAAAATTTTATTTTCAAATATTTGGAGATGTCATTTATTATTAGCAAAAATATTTACATATATATGTTAAATAGAAAAAATTTAGTAGCTATTTTTTTTTATCTCTTCTAAAATAGTGATATGAAATGATATTGTCTGACATTGATATCGCGCATTCCAGAATATGAAAAGTTGCATATAAAAAATTTGATAATCTCGATCTGGTAATCACCGGCCTCGTTTTCGCGATTTTACTATCACAAGAAATCTAGGGACCGAAAGTTAGAAAAGCGGTAACACGTTCGACACACGTGCGTGTGGGTGACGACACGATACGGTGCGAGATTGAGGTGGGATTAAGTCGACGATATGTCTTAGCGAGAGAGCGCCCCTTTAATGGCTGGTGGTTGGTTTTGGCAGCCCAGTGGAGCATGGAGCGGGGATGGGCATCCACGCGAGCATAATCCATCACGGTGTGGGAAGTAGCGCGGGGGCAGGGGTCGGGGCTGGAGGTGGTGGAGGGACGGTGGGGACAGCCGCCGCCCCGCCAAACACCAACACTGCCTCCAATGCCTCCTCGCCTCAGCAAGAACCCACTTATGTTAATCTCTAGTCAAGCCTATCGCCTCCCTTCTACTGCAACACTTCTTCTTAAACAGTGGTCAGTCCCGACTTGAAACCTACGGGCCTTCGTCGGTCCTCGCTATGGCCGGCCAGTCGCTCGAAAGATAACTCACAAATGATTTTATCTGTATCTCACATAACGGGATATTAAATTTTTTTCTGAAACTTGATGAGGACATATAGCTCGTTAAATATTATTGTGGAAAGATACGAGCGAAGAGAGCCCCATAGTAAGTGGCACGACGGTGGCCCGTGATGCTCGCATTGTTTCTCATTGTTGTGGCTCTTTACAGCTTATTATTGTTATTTATTTATCCCTCTCGTTTAGTTGGAATTTATTCAGTGTTGCCCTTAGCATGGCTGATCTGTAATATATATCATATTATATATATACATATATGTTTATATATATATACACATGTAACAATTATTTATTCCGATTTTTGAACGTTTGACATTTAGAAGGTTTTTATATATTTTAATTTTTTAGCATGACAGTTCGTACGATTAAGACCGGATGATTGCGGATGTGTTCTTTTTCACATTTTTTTTTTTTTACTTTTAATATCTAATCATTTTTTTCTTTTGTAATATTTTATACAATAACGTGTTTTTATACGTATATAGTAACCACTTAAGGCACTTCTTTAAAAAAAATCTCGCTGGCTGAACGTGTAGAATGAAATTTAAGTTAAAATTTTGCACAATTTCGTATTATCAAATTGACTTTCGGACTGGATTGCAAACAACTGCAATTGCAGTTCTTTTAACAAGATACCTGTTGCCATGTCTGTATTAGACATTTATTATTTTTATTTAAACAAAAAAAGGGACGCAAATTATTATTTCCTGCGAGAAATAAATTTTTTTCAGTATAAATGCGAAGAGTACGATTTTTGCTACTCAATATTAATTATACAATTATACATAACTATCGATAATATTTGACAAATAATATATATACGTTGCAATCCAGCACGAGATTTTCAAATGTTCGTTCGTTGTCGCGCACTAAAACTACGGAATCTAACTCCCGTAAATTTTGTGTAATGCTTTGACATCCAAGTGTGACTGCGAATTAATAGAAACTTCCGTCGTCCTCGGCAGCACGGCCGATAAAACTAATTGATTTAGCTGAGAGATAAATAATGAGAGCCAATGGCAGAGCGACAAAATGTCTCGACTGCGAAGCAGTTCTTGGACGAGGTCGGACAGGCTCACTTGTGAAAATTGTGCAGTAGCAAAATGCCTTTCTTCCTCTCGTCACACGGAATCTATTCTATCGATGTCCATCTTTTACGTGACTGAAAACTTTATTTTGAATACACTTAGTCGCAATATTCCTAGTTCCACGTAACATACTGTATCCATTCAATGTATGTACGTTAATTGGCTTATGACAAATTGATGCTGAAAAAAGAACGCGGATCCCCCCCGGATATAAAATTATCGATTAACGGATGATAAACGATTCGATAGATGCCCCCTGGCATTTCGATTGAGTTTTGTTTCTTTTATCACGTACAAATTTCTTACACGTTATGCTTGTTACGTCCAAGAATTTTGAGCATGGCATTTGCGAGCGAGTGATCAGTGTCGAGCAATCGAAGCATTGTCAGGCGCACAAAGATTTGTTGCCTTCGGTAATTGAGGCATTGGAACATGAGATAATTTACTAACTCGAGATGGAGAAGTTTGTGTGTCTGACTTTGCGATGATGACGTAATCGCATGTTTTTTTTTTAATTTTTGGTAATAATTTTAGATGTAACATTTTTCATGGACACTGCGCATTTCCAACGGTGAGACTTCCACCGAATGTCGAGCTCCACGTAAAGTTTAGAGATAATTGAAGAAAATTTAGAGACGCACGCAAGAGTCGAATTAAAATTAAATATTGTTTGAAAAAATATTACTTTGATTGGTCACACAATATCAGATTGAAGTAATCTTCTAGCTATGTTTTGTATATTAAAGAACATCGTGCTTTTAGAATATTACCAAAATATAAATAAAAATTTATATATTTGCTATATTATTTAAGAAATTATCTCTCACAGATGGAAATTGCAGCAATCGAAAGACAATATTATATTGTGTTTTCAATACACCTAAACGAGCATGTACTAATCGGTTCCACGTCGTTATTTCCAGACGTAAGAAGAAATGTATCAGATACATGGGGGAGGGAGGAGACGGAGACGGTGAAGCTGACGGTGAAGCTGAGGATGATCATTCAGAGGATAATCTGGGTAGCGTAGGAGAGGCGGGGACTCCTGAGGAGGACGAATCTTTGAGTAGTCCCGGGGGCCTATCCGCGTTGTCTAGTCTGGCGAGTCCTTCGTTGGTCTTACCATCGCCCTCAAGTCTGGCCAGTCCATGTCCGTGCCCGTGCCCGTTGACGCCCCCGGTGCCGCCCCCACCTCTGTCAAACACGAACCAGCCGCCGGCGGTGACAACGACGACGACGACGACGACATCGGTGGCGGCGGCGGCGGCAGCGGCAGCGATGGCAATGGCAGGATCGGCAGTGACATCAGCGGTAATGCAACAGCAACCGCAACCACCTCCGCAGCCTCACCGCAATCCCGTAGGCACGAATCCTCACGACATTAACAATCCGCTCAGCGTGAACCAGCTGACCGGACAGTGTATAAAAAGCGAGCCCGCACCTTCGGGCCCTTCCAACCCGGCAATCAGTGTTACGTAGCCCCGGCCGGACCCACGTGACCGAACTGTTGCTACACGCGGTGTCATCTATAGGGTCCGTCTACGTATGCACGCGATAAGAAGGCTGGATAATGAAGAACCGACTAAAATGATGATAGAAATAAAAAAAGGAACTTGGCGAATGAGAAACCAAATAAGAATCGCTTTCGTTTAGCGTTTCTCTCAGTTCCGATCTGATTTGGGAGGGGCGGGGGGAGGGGGGGGATTTGACAGAGGCTCAAGGAGACTATAGTATTTTCGAGATGCCTGAAAGTAATTCGAGTGGTTACTTAGTCGAATTAGATGCAGTCTACAATCGAAGCGGTACTGTTGATGATTCGAATTTGAACATGCGAAATCATCGTACGAATCTTCCAGCGCCATTATGGATTGATAGCGTCGCCTTCGATTATTTTCTCCTGGCCTCACTCTTATCCATTCGCCGAAATAGAGATCATCCAAAGTCGGGAATAATGATCAAGACGTTATTATACGTGTTAACGAAAGAACAGAAATAAATACTATGTGCAGAAATACTCAGGACCAAGTATTTGGTTGTAGTCACCCGCTCAGCAAAAAGACAAATGTAAGCGAGATATAAGCGTGAGAGAATATATGTGCATGTATGCTTGCGAAGCTGGGGAAGAGCAAGGTGCACGTCTGATAATAATGCGACAGAGAAAGCAAGCTCATTGAAAGTGCGCGTGACGCAGCTTGTAGTCCTTGTTACGTTGTGATGCCAATGACTGAGAGTCATGTTCCTGTGCCAGCTACTATACTCTAGGAAAGTAATTATATTGCGGATAAATAGCTAAAAGCATAAAGCGGAGGAGCCGCAAGAAAAAAAAAATGAAGCGGCGCGCTCACGCGTGAGATGCGTTTTATTATCATTTGTTTATTCGACCTCACCTCACACGTCAAGTGTGTGTTAAGATATCTAACTTCTATGTATATGCAATTTGTTATTTTTTTAAAAGTCTATACACACCGTGCGGGTTGATTAGCATGTAAGATCCTTTTTATTGACTCCCCATTCACTCGAATATTTTTTTCTTTCTCTCTCCTTTTCTTTTTCTTCCCTTATTTTTGATAATGTTACATTGATAAATGGCGCTATACGATCGATAAGGTTCTAAAGGCAACGTGTTTCTGTAAAACTTGTCAAGTAAACTTTTCCATTTGTACGGAATATAACACGCTATTAACTACGTAGTTATTAAGTATAAATACGTATATTGATAAATGCGTATTAATACTAATAATATGTATTTATTAAACTTCAAATTTTTATTATTACTGTCGCAATCGACTTAACATCATTCAATGTCTTTATCTTTTGATTCTTTTCTCAAATTAGATAATAATTTTAGCCGTTGATTCGCATGCTTTGTACTTTCGATTGAACAAAGACAATAATAAAAATAAAAACTAAACTCAATGAATGCAATTATTCTCTATAGAAATATTGGAATTAGTTGCATCAGTCTCAAATAACTTGCGAATGTCAAAAGTTACATTGACGTTTTCAGAAGATTATCCTATAATCTGTTTATTTCCCTCTCATATTTTTATTATTCTTTTTAAACATTTTCTACTTATCTTTTCACTTTTACGTATTAACGTGAGCGTTCGATGAGTGTGTAGTAATCCAATGCGACTTGAGGATTAGTTGATTTGTAATCTGTATGTTTGCGCATCAGAGAAATAAGTTTCTCTCTCAAATCGTGAAATAGAAAAATTTATCGTTGGAACAATCGCTCAATAAATGATGATTAAGAACGGATTTTCGAAAAAACATTTTATGATATCGTAAAAAGTTTATAAGTTTTAGTAATGTTTTATATATTTTTCTCTCCGTTATTAACGGAGTTTTTAGCATGTGGTTTCAAACATTAGGATAATGCAGGTTTTTTGTTTCTAGGTGCAAAACATTATAAATATTTTTATCGGCAACTCTACGTTTTTCCTTATGTTTTATTATATATATATATATATTGTTTATATATCGTATCTCGGTGTAACGTGCAAATGTAAAACGTACTATTTGAACAATTATATACGAAATAATATGAAATAATGAATATATTTTTCATTATTTTGTGAGTTGTTTTTGTTGCGAAAAATCTATTAGCCGATAATCCTCTTTTTTTATAAATGTAATAGAAATTAATCGTAAAAGATTCTTCGCAATATTGTTTCGTAAGAGAACAGCTAATTTCTTTCATTTTTATTCATCTTATCATTAAGATTTTAATCATCGCTAATTTCAAAAAAATTTTATTTTCAATATTTTCAAAAATACATATTTACAAAAATGACAAAAACGAATTTTTTTTACAATAAGACATTACACACAATAGTACGTTTTGTAAAAAGATAAAAAATTCACGTATCTTATATGCAATTTCGAGCACACCGATTATATAATTGCGATGAGAATTGTTAATGACTGATCTCGTTCTGTTATGCGACATTTTGGTGCGATTCTAGTTTTTCTTTACCGTCTATTACCAAATCGGAAAGAAATGGGCGAAAGGGATCCTTTGTAACGATTGTTCCGTAAGCGTTTATTCAGAGAGCAGTTTCTCTTTTGTACATAAAATAAATATGTTTTATATAAGATGCATTTATTGCGGCGCATGGGAAAGTGCAATGGAGGTGCCAATGAGAGAATGAGAGTGTGAAATTGCGCGCGTTTGTGCGCCACGAAATGGAAGTAGACGTTGCACAAGAATGCACGCGAACGTCTATGACAATATCTTCCCTTATTTCCCTTCCGCAATGTGTTTCCCCTTCTTTTTTTCTTTTTATATTCTTTGTTTTTTCTTTTGTTTTTTTACTTCATTAGCCGCGTTCAGCAGAAAAGCAGCTTTGCAATTGTAAAATTCTTCAACATGGATTGGTTCTTATCCTTAGCTTCTTATTAGATCTACATGCGTAACCAATAATATTAAACAATTTTGCAACAGTTTTTGCGATTGCTTTTTCTGCTGAACTCAGCCGTAGACTGGAATCATCCGGTGTCTGTATAACGAACATGGCGAAAACCGCTGTAGGAACGCATCGTCGAGTATAGCAGCGAACTAAACGTGCCATAACAACGTCATGCCAATATTATCCATATAATACATATTGTTTTTGACATTATAATCCATTCCTAGTTCCGTCGTGGAGCGTCAGCCACTGACGCGAACTTGTTCTTTTCTCCCTCCTTCCCTCTTCACTCGATCCACCGTTCTCTCTCCCTTCCTACCCGCCTTCTTCGTTTGTCGATCGAACTCTTTAAACAGACTGAAAATGGCATTTAGTAGGAACCTTTTCGCGAATGACGATCTATATATTATGCGATCGCGAACAAAGCGAAATATTTTAGCAGTACTCGAACGAAAGAGAAACGTAGACTCTCGCGCGTACAGGATGTTCGATCGAGGAACTGAAGTACCTATCGAATAAGTACGGGGCAAGGACAACCAGCAACGTCTCACGAGAGACGAATGCGGAAAGAAAGGAGGTAGCAGTGGACATTTAGCGACAGATATAGTCAATACATGAAAACGAGACTCTTCAAGTTTCACGCGAGACATTTGAGTATCGTTATACATGAGGAGAATGATGGTGAGTGGGACCGATTTCTTCCTGATGAGCGATTTGATTTGGAACCGCAAAGGAAGCCCTCATAGATCATCTCGAGCCCGCTCGCTACTTCCTTTCTCGCTCTGTTAGGAACGACGTCGTCTAGGATTCAGTGACGAACTGTTTGGGGACGTGAAAGCGTCTCGGTTTAACCGGGTATAAAGAGAACGTATCCCCTGGGATGCAGAATGCGATTCTCGGAATGCGAGCAAACTCGCTCGATACGGCCTACAGTCCGCTCGAGAAGAGAGAGTATCGAGATTTGCTCGCGAGTCGCAAATGATGACCCCCCCCCCCCTTTCTCCGGTGACGAGGGTGACCAAGCTCGTGCCGATCGAGTCGGGAGTTCGAAGCTAGTGTCTCGCTTCAAAGGAATGATTGTACCATATTGTAAAGTATCAATCGACAGTTCTCAACTGCGTTGTACAGTGTTTTCTAAGTATCTAGGCTGATAGCGCGCGTGTAATTGAAGAAAAGGAACATTGTATTTATACTAATAAGCGATCTGTATCATTCATTCTCGTATAGCCTGTAATCCTACTCATGTAGATGCTAAAAGTGATTTGTGTCATAAAGAAACCCTATAAATAAAATTAGCACTTTGAGAACGTTGTCGACCGCGTGTACAAATTTTTTCTCTCACTTCCATTTATCTTTCGTTGACTTTGATGCAAAATTTTCGCGTGCGTTTAAGGATTGTGAAATATTTTCTTAAATTCTGAAAATTTTACATAGATGCATGGCACCTTGAGATTCGTATCGTTGTAGTTACTTGGAGAATAAAGAAAAGTAAAACGTACAACCAAATATTTATTAATATTTACATGAATAAATGTCTCTCGTGGTTGAAAAAAAATGCAGGCTCAATACGTTAACCGCGTTCAGAGTATATACATTCGATCGCTTCGAGTTGCAATTGTCCACGAATATCTTTGCCATCCTTGCGATACTGTTACACTTGAACATACATGCGGCGCCGTCGTAGGCAGGTTTACCCCGATCATTTCTCGAGCACGGGTCAAACATATAGAATTTACCGTAATGCTGCATCACAGCCATCGCCAGATTGTTTGTGTGCAATATTCCGGCGCAATTCACGCGGAAAAACATAGCGAGCGCCTCGGACAGATCGAAGATATGAAGTATCCCGGCGGTAGTATGATTATGAACGTGAATGGTGACCCTCAAGTCACCCACGATAAACACGGTGAGCAACTCACTGGGTGAGAGATTCCTGGCGCCCGGTCGAGCGGCTCGGGCACTCTCAAAGTACAGCGAATCACCGTACTTGAGTACGGTATCAATTAGCTCGGAAGTCCACGTGGATGGCACGTGCAGCAGCCCCATTACAACGGCGACTGCCGCGATTGCCGTACTCTGCAAACCCCTGTTTCTCAGACTGAAGGTACGATGATTCATGTGCAGGCTGCCATGCAGAACGCTCAGTTCGTCGTTCACGATACTGTACTCATTCAGCGATTCCACGTTCAACCTAACTGTCTTTTTTGGGCAGATAATTGAAACAAGTGGCGCGATACGATCTAAATATGGTTGGAAACCACCTGGACACGGCAATGTCTCAATTATGACGTTCCTTATGATTACTCGACAGATCTCGAAAGCCCCATATCTCTCACGGGGATCAATGTTTGCAAAGATTGTATCATATAAAGGTTCCAGACAAGCAAACCACATTATACATGAAGTTCCGTTGGAATCTGGTAGACCCTGATCGTTTCTAGCTCTAGGATCATACATGAAGTAAACACCCAGATCTTTCCAAATAGCTATCATACCGCGATCGGTTATTAGAATACCAGCACGATTATCTTCAAAAAATTTCCGCAAACCTTCCTCCAATAAAATCGAAGAAGATTGTTCTCGCCGAGTCGTTCTCTTCTCGCGTTTGTCAATCTTTTCTTTCTCTTCCCCCTTTTTATCTTCCGAGACGGAAGGTTCAATCGCCACCAGACCGATTACGGTATTAGGCTCAATGTCAGCAGTCAAAACATTGACACCTGCGAAAATATAAATTCCGAAATTTGTTCAGAATTATTTTAAAAGCAGCGGAAACGTACGACATACATACCCACATAGAATACTCTGATAATATCCTTTGGTTTCAATCTCGATTCGGGTTTGATCTTTCTTGATTCTTGATGAACGTTACTACCGATTGCCAAAATCTCGTCCATAGTCTTTTTCGTCCAGGTGATGGGACTCTTAACGATTGACATACCGAGCGCAACGACACAATTTGCCGCTGTTTGTCGACTACGTAACGTCTCGGGAAAGATCTTGTCGCCTTGATGATAGCTTCCACGCAAGATAGCACGCGCCTCGCCCCGTAATTTTCTGTAAGCGTTCAAAGGAGGCAGGTTCGTTGGTCGAATCGCCGGACTAGGATCAAGTTTCCAAAGTGGCGGTTTAGTCCAGTCCAGCACGTCGATCGCAGTAATCTGATAATCGCCTTCGGTTCCCAAGTGATGTAGAAGATAATCTACAAGGAGACTCATATCCTTGAACCTGATTACTTGCGGTACCGTTGACACGTTTTCTTTCATAGTAGCGGACCAATTGGGTATTAGAACGTAATATGCGTCATCGGCCTTCCATATGGCTAAATTTTTATTTCCTCGTACGGTCAATACGCCAGCTTCGTACTTGTTGAAGAAATTGTCGATTCCGCTCCGTAAATTTTGAATCTTAGGAGCTATCCCGGTAAGACTACCCGCTTGAACACAATCCTTGATTGTTAAAGCGATGCGCCGAGAAGACAGGAAAAATTCACTGATGATTTCGTTCACTAAGGGTACCGAGCCATTACCGAGTCTCTCGACACACTTTGAATGTAGTTTGTCGCCAGTAACGATAACTTGATCGAGAATTGACGATGTCCACTGTCTCGGTTGGTAGACCTTTATTAATTTTCTATGTTAATTATCTTTGCGCAATTGAGTTATATATAGTTGAATTAATTAAGTAAAATTAATTAAGCTGATTATATAAAGAAAAAAAGAAACCTTGGAAAAGACGATGGCCATCGCGGCGATGGCTGCACTTTGTTTGCCATGATTTGTCTTGTCGAACCTTTCGTCTGTCATAGTGACGTTACCGTCGATGCTCCAGACACCGTCTGCGAGTTTGGGAAAATGATGCCACAGATCTTCACCGGAAGTAGTCTTTTTCACACGTTCGGCTTGAGCCACTCGCGTCTCGTACACATTGTCGATTGAGATGGCATCGATGACGAAGTCGTCGGCCTCCCGTACAACTGTTCGAAGAATGTCAGCTAATGAGGGGATATCGGTGAACCACATCACTGCTGCAGCTTCATTCTTATCTGTAGATTTGCCTTGAGCGTTTCTACCCCTAGGATCCATTGTGAAGAACACTTCGCCTTCTCTCCAAATCGGCATTATTACGTCATCCTGACGAAATATTCCCATCGAGTTTTCCTCAAAAAACTGTTCGAGTAATCTTATCACATCAGTCATGCTTCCGGTGATAGATTCTTCTTCAAATCCAACTGACATTCGATTGACTCCTATGGTAAAGTTTTCTGCGATTTCCGTAGGAAGAAGATAATCTCTGGGAGTTTCCTCTTCAGCCTCTACTTCAGGTAGATTTATTAAGTTCTCATTAGTGAGTTTATCGCCAATTTTCAAGATATCATCTACAAGTTCACTGTACCATAAATGAGGATCGTAAAGTTTTGTCATAGCCAAAGTCGTTAAACCATTAGCAGCTTGCTGTTTATCTCTCGTTATTCGTTTGAAGACCAATTCATTTCTTTGATTGATGGTACCCAAAAGTATAGCGCCAGTCTCGCCCAAATTCGAATAGTTGTTCAAATTCGGCATAATCGGTATTAGTTTATCTGCCTCAATCTCCTCATCCGTCATAAGTGGACCGATAGACACAGACTTTAATTCATGTATCATGAAATCGTTCTCGCCTTCATTGTGCCCCGCATTCTTTTTAATGAGATCTGCTAACGCTGAGAGGTCCGAAGATCGTACCAAGCAGGCAGAATTTTCTTCGTCTCTCTCCGCTGATTGACCTAATTTATCACGAGGATTTGGATCGAAATAATAATAAAATATCTCTTTTTTATCCTCGTCCTTCATCTCTTCTTCGTCTTTCCATACTGCCACTGAGAGTCTCTTCGTCTCAACTATTCCATAATATTTGTCCTCGAAGAATTGATTTAAGCCTCTTTCTAAGTTTAGTAATTTAGAATCATCCGATGCTGATAGATCACCGACAACTGCCGCCTCGTTGATATCAATAATTACTTTTCGATTTTTGAAATACAAATTTTTTTTCAGATCTCGGACAAGAAGCAATTTTTCAGTTTCTTCTTCCATTGTGACAGGCTTAGACCAGTTGTAATAAGCGTCGCCTTCCTTGATCACTTCATCGACGGTTTCCTTACTCCATTTTGCTGCTGGCGTTTCCCCTGCACTAACCAAGGCCACAACTGGCATAGCGAGACCTTGAACTCCTTGATTTTCTTCTTCAAATAACTCATCCATGTTGGATATTTCACCTTGCAACACCCACGTCTTACCTGCCATACCGGGCTGAAACTCGTTCCAAGCTCGAGTGCCAGGCACATCGTCCACGATCGTGACATGCCGAATAGTGAACCGATCGTTCTTTCTCGTAGGATCAACATTTTTCAAGAACAGTGCAGTCAAGGAATCTAAGTCTGGAAATCGAATCACGCAACAATTTCCTATTTCTTTCTTATCCTTCTGTATAATTTCCTCTTTTCTATCCTTTTCTGTAACTTTGTCAGTTTTCTCTTCTCTTATCCTAATGCCAGTGGCATCACAATATCGAGGATCGAATAGATAGTAATAATCATCCTGACTCCAGACTGTCACCGCCATTGAAGTCGTTTCGATCACACCTTCCTCGTTTAACAGAAAAAACTCTTCTAGTGCCTGTTTCAAATTCAAAACTGACGGTACCTTCGAGGTAATTGTACCGGTCACGGTGATCAGATCGACATCTATCACTAGTTTACGATCTTCTATTTGGAATTTGGTATTATCTAAATCGGCCGCTGTCATTGTCTTTATTATTGGCTTGTCGGATTTAACTTTAGCATACAATAAATCACCCATCATCAGGATTTCATCCAGCGTCGATCTCACCCATGTCTTTACTGGATGCATTTTCTTCATAGCAATAGCCATCACGCAATTTGCTACGTTTTGTCCACCTTTGCCTTTGTATATTTCCTCGTCTTCATAGGTTAGACCATGAAGAATCGCTATTTTATCGGGTAATTCCGTGAACGTGGATGGCACGTTTACTCGCATGTCATCGTATGAATATCCTGTGTCAAAGTTGTTTCGATTCACCAACAACTCTGTAGCAAAATATCGATCGATGCTATAATTTGAAATTTTGATTGATAACGGTTCTTTTCGTATTCTTGCGAGTTTGTGCACTTTTTCTTTCTGCACAGGCTTTGTGCAGTCCACTTTATGATCATCGATGTCAATAGGATTAATGGATCGTAATACGCTCTTCCGAACTATAGGTGGACCAATAACATCGAATCGGTCAACGAATGCATCGACCTATAAATGTCTATTTTCATATATATGTATAACTATGTAAGTATTTTTTTATATATAAATACCTAGCAAACGAGAATGGATTAAAATAAATTGAAATTTTTTTCTATCCGAATGCGTATTTTAAATAGCGAATACTTTTTTTTTATTTAATTGAATTCAATTGGATTCAATTAGATTCAATTGGATGCAATTGGATTGAAAAACTACATTTCCTATTCAAAATTTTGAATTGAATAATATTCACAATGTGTGTGTTGTGCACAGAAAAAGCTAATATTATTTTTAAATTGAAGAGCATAGAGATATGCTCTATGCAATTCCTATAAATTAATAACAATGCATTCAGGATTGAAAAACATTCATTTTAATATTCGTGAATCAATATTTCTGAAAATCTGAATCCATTTCAATTCATTTCAATTCTCATTTGCTGGGTATATATTATTTACATCATTCTTTTTATCTTTATATAAATATCTTTATATAGTATATGGACTTTCTCTTTGTAATATACTTGTGTAATAATAATGAATTTTATTCTTACAAGTAACATTTCATAAAAAAAAATAAGCTTCTCCCTTCTCTCTCTCTCTCTCTCTTTCTCTCTTTCTCTCGCCGCGGAAAAAAATGTTATATAAATGGACATATTTTTTATATATAATCATATATAATTGTATATAAAATATTTAAGTTAATTTTTTTTTATATAATTATATTTAATCTTATATAATTATATATGAAACATTTTCTCCCGGATCTCTATTACTACTATTATTATTATCGCTATTCTACTGCTATTATTACCTCTATGGCACGCAACAAGGTGACTTTGTCGATACAATATCGAGAGTCATAACGCCAATTTAGATTCTTTAACAAATGATCATGCAAGTCATTTATATACTTGAACCTCATGAGGCAAGCTGTGCCATCAGCATAATGTAGACCAGTCTCATCGCATGAGGCTGGATTGTAGCAAAAGAAACCGGCATTTCCAGACTGACGCCATACAGCAACGGAATTACCTTGAGCAGTGATTACTCCAGAATCATTATTTCTGAGAAATTTTTGGAGGCCTTCAGCAAAATCCGAACAGCCAATTGACTGGCTAAAGAGATTGCCGCGGATACCATTTTTTTCGATATCAACCCAAATTTTGTAGAAACCAATATAGAATTCATTGTGTACGAGATTGGTCCTCATATATTCATCGTCTTTCAACTTGTTTCTCCTCAAGCTTATGCGAAACAACTTGTCACCATATTCGAGTACTTGATCTATATGATGACTCGTCCACTCTTTGGGTTCAAACAGGCGACCGTAAACGATAGCCACTATCGTGCACGGTGCTGCTTGTCGTCCTCGACTTTTATACTTGAACCGGCGATCACTCATCGCACGAGAACCTCGAAGAATAAATGAACATGGTGTTAGAACTTGAAAGCGATGCCATCGTTTTCCAATATTATTACGAAGTGAAATTTTTTTTTTGATTTGTCCTATATCACCCTCGCCGATACTACTATGATCCTCCATATCTTCTAACTTTTGTGATAATTTATTTTTCGATAATTTACATTTCTCTTGAGATGTCAGATCCGAATATATATATATATATATATATATATATGTATTTGTCTATAAAAAATTAATGAAGAAATTAATTTAAAAAATTTACATGGATGCATATATTTTTTATAATTCAATAAAATTTAATATTTTAATAATTTAAGTTCGTACTTACTTAACCCATGATAAAAATTAATGAATGAAAATGATATTAAACTATATTTTTGTTTCGCGTTTTTAACAATATAAAAATTACTGTGTTGCTTGCAGAATTTTGCTTTGGAATTGTTTCACTTGTAGATTTACGAGTATGATTAAATAAGTTTTATGCAAAGAAAGACATCTGTCAAAAGATTAATTTGGAACCGAAACAAAAGGTATCGATTAAACAAGCCTGTAATTTTCGATACAATAATTGTATATATGTCTCAAGAAGTCAACATCAAAAATTACATTTAAAAAAGAATTATAAAAGAAATATAAAAAAGAATTTATAATTTATAGTGATTTGAAAGGTAAAGAACATACAGAGATGATCCGAGTAAAGTATATTTAAAACTTTATTACGTCAACATATGAAAATTATAATAAATATTTTATAAATACAGAAGTATAAATAAAGTGAAGCCAAATACAACTTGCTTTTCATTGTAATAATATCGATGTTTTCGTAAAGATTTATATACAATGTATGAATAATAGAATAGAAATCAAGTTGCATCATCACTTATTCAATTTTCAAGGAATTTAGTACACGGAAATGTAATTATTCCACGAATAATCGAAGAATGCTATTGTATACATGTATTTAACGATAACAAAATTTTGATTAGTTTTCGCGCAATGACAAAAGCTCTTTTGCTAAATTATTCTTTATTTACAACGCATATATATTTTTTCTTCTTATATATAATATGTATACTTAACTAATCTAATCAGTTTATTATAACAAGTTACCAAAAAATATCTACACGTAAAAATATATAGATATATATATATATACATATAAACACAC